ATCATTGTTCTGTTCCCTTGTGCAGTTTCGGTTATTTGAATCTCCTAAGGATACATGCTGGTTGACGTTCATAAATTTCTAACCTGAAACGACGATATTGACACCAGATCGTGCTAAACGACCCTACTAACTATCCCTCGTTGATTTTAACTTAATTTTACAGATTTTATACATCTTATGCGTTGAGATTTCATGTCAACGTGGCCGAAAGATTAAAAAATGTGTCGAAAACCATTTGTATACTATCATCCCTCAATCAGTAATTGGTATGCAAACAAAAGCCAAAGAGACGAGTTTGTTCTTGCCCATCTACCAATGAGTCATTCATATTTCAGATAACACGAGACATCTTAATGGATTATAACTAGTCTCAAAAACTCTGCATTTGAAACCGTTAGCAAACACAACATATATACTACTATGAGCTGATGGGCTGTTCTATAAGATTGAACATTGACAGTCACATTTTGTCAAAAACTTTATAATATGAACGACATTTTTGTCCATTATCCAATCAATGCGATTTGATGTTATACATCTCTGTTTTCATGTTTATATTATAGCTTTTTAATCACTGAGTATTTGCCCTTATGACATTTTCTGTGTTAATTAACGATTAAAATCAGAGAAAACTTGATTAATGATACATAATTCATCAACACACCACTATTTTGTATCATAAAGTGAGTACCTATACTGTATGTATGTGCGACTGTGAATGGACGTTCATATGTTGGGCAGATAACTGTTTGTCGGACGTTAGATCCGGTAGTATTTATTTTGATTTTCTTCCTATTGAGTGTAACAGATATCTGATTTATTAATTCAAATGATAATATGTAGTTTTACTTTGATTTTTATACAACATGTCTGTACTTTTACATGCTTTATTTATTGATATAATTGAGACATGAGTGCGTATGTACACGTTCTGGTTCAGTGCTATTGAAGATTGGTTGAACACAATTTTAAAATACAACTTATATAAGTATTGTAAATTGAGCTGTTAAAATGGAACGTGTTATGGTCTCCCGTAAACAAGGTAGCGTTATTGAGTCTCCTGAAGTACGTATATACCATACACCCCCTCTACTGTGTACACAGAACGGGACGCCAGGTAAAGGCAGGTATATCAATATTGTCACAGTGAATGAGATCAAATAGAATCCGAGATGTCATAATTTAAAATCCCTTTACGTGCTCTACATCTGATGTGTTATCAACCTATATTAGTACATTTTATGTATCGATAAAAACATGAGATCGTTTTATGAAGAAAAGTCTTAAGTCGCCTATATTAACTTGTGTGTGTGTTTTAGATGACGATTAGTTGGACAGGAGTACATGTATTTACGCCAAAACTCACCTTAAGGTAAGTAAATGCCGTTTTAGTTGCTGATTAAGTGACCCTGTTTCGAGGGATATTACTTTAAAATGACTATTGCCTAAAGTTCAAGCTATGTCAGACTGTTAAGTTCAGTAAGATTAATCGTTTAAGATCGTACCATTGTACCAGACTAACGAAACGATGTTGTGAGGTGTTCGCCTTGTGAAACATACCCTCTTAAGTTATTCAGTCTTGTCAACCCCAGTTTTCAACAACAGGATATGTACATACAAAGCCATTGGCTTTTATTCTCCATTTGATGTAAAGCTGGAAATACCCTGTTAATATTGATTTAATTTTACCGGTCCTCGTTTAGTTTTTAACACTATCGATCCGTTTTAGTGACTTGATTTCAAACCATTTGCCCGTAATATCACTGAAGAGTCATTAAAGGACTTATGATACAGTTTATTTTTATTTTATGTATCTAATTCTAATTTTTATTTGATGTGTGCTATTCTCCTGTGCAACATTTTGTATAATCTCAATGTAGAATGTATCATCGTAACTTCCATACTTGTGTACTTTCAGATGAAACGATTATAGTGTCCCATATTGCAATCGACGTATCACCTCGTCATTATCATGTTCATATCGTCGATATATACATAATGAAAAAAACATAAAACGCAGTATATTTGAAGTTCTTTAGATGCAGTAGAATAACAGTTGAATTATGGCCTTTGATGTTTGATGCAAAAAGTACACAGAGACGGGTAGGGTTTAGTTTCGTATTAAACGTCATGAATGTGTGAAATCCTTTCTAATAATTGTGATATTTATATCCGTTCGATGAACATGGCGTGTAATAGTCAACATGTACTTGTATATAATGCGTATTATTAACATGATTTACTGTAATATTTCTTTGTTATAGGACATAAAAGATATAATATATTAATGTAATACGTAGCTTGTAACCCCCATTCATTCACCATATACTGGTCATACATGGGCAATCTAGTGTTACCTCTCTCACATTTGTTGTTGAATTTTAAAAGGAGAGAGACAGGGACAAATTTAATTTGATTTTTACGGCAACTTTTAATCTCTGCAATAATAAGACATTGCCAAATGAAGCACCAGGAATAGAGAGTAAAGAAAGAAACTAATTTCAGACATATTAAAGACCAATTGTAAACTAAAAAAATATCGTGACGACGAGCCATTTGTAGTAATAATTTGATTTCTATAGACTTTTCAACGACTACCTTTTGATTGATATGTTTTTACTGTTAACAATACCCAAGTCACTCTGTATTAGGGGTGCACCGAGACATTTATCTAATAATAGATTTTATAATAATTTCTTTACATCGCTTAGAAATCGTAAATATTGGAAGTCGAAGAAACAAAATTCTATCTTCTACCTGAAATATGTAAGACAAATGGCAGGACAAGCACAAAACATCAATGTGTGTAAGACAAATATCCCTCCAAATACGTTAACAATTTTAACACGTCAAAAGTGGAAAACTTTAAGACGCTGGAGAAACTAAAATAATCATGCTATGGAATTTATAATGCATAATCAAAAACGGAAAAAAATGGATTTTATACCGATCATAGTTTTAGATGGAACTATTTCAATCTACTTATTTGACCTTTGCTTTATCCTTTTAAACATGGAGGAGCATTAGAACTTAAATGTTATCGGCTGTTTCGTGTCATATGATCACACCAAGGGCTAAAATTATTCATACATTCTTTGTAGGCTCGACAAGACGCTGTGTTACTGCGAGCAAGGATAGTATAACTTGTCATTGGATATTGTATTGTGTTCAGCTGTTTAAAGTCTTCCTGTGAGTATACAATGTCAATTTTTTTTTGGGTGAGTCTGTGGTGTCTTACCTGATTGTTACAGATGTCTCCCATATTTGCTATGTTAATTAATATATCGAAAATTGAAATTAAACACTTCCTCAAAAATAGAAATTTCAGCAATGTAGGTTATGTTGTGGTATATATATCAATAATAAGTTTTATTCTTACACCGATATTCTACGGTTAGGCATATTTTTTACATATTCTCCCTATGAATTATAAATTACAAGGCTACTTCAGTCTCTGCTTCCTAAATAACCTACTGGAGTGTCGCTTCATTACACGCCTCCACTCTTCTCCCTCCAGTTTGTTTCAGGTTAAAGTGTTGTGCGCATGTCCAAACGAAAACTGATGTGAGTTTCCTCTGACAGAGAAAAAAACATATTATTTATAATTGTGAAACAAACTGCTCCCAACTTTAAGTGTAATATAACGTTACCAGATGGAATGGCGTACTACCGTTTCCAAGTGATAATACTTCAAAGGTACAATAACATACACGCCACTCTTAATGACTACTTCATGCAGGTAAATCGTGTATAAAAAACAAACCACTTAAAAAAAACCATCAGAGTCTTAACGAAACACAACACAACATCGCGTCAAAACACCTCGCCTCTATTAGGACTTCAATGGTCGTATAATATCATATACAGAGAGAGATCAGATAGTAAAAACACTTAAAATAAGTCACAATCTCTACCAATTAGGATAAATATTTTGATAAGTAAACAATAAAAAAGTTTGGTATATCGATTATATATGCAATTTCTTTAGCAAGAATAGGTAAATTAAAATGTACTGAGGTATGAAAAAATCAAATCATTGAAAACATCTCATGTATATAAGCCATTAGTTGCCATTATTTATCCGTTAGAATTATTGACCGTAATGTTCGATTAGATACAGTTTACGTATGGAGCAATATTGACACACCTGTCAGCAAACTTCCTATTGAAATCAAAAATGATTTATAGGTTCAACCATACTGCTCTTTAATGTTGAATAAAAGGTTATCGATAAGTTACACTATGGAAACATTGTTAATCGATTTGCACATGCAAAATAATATACCTGAGTGTAGGTTTTGTTCGATTTTGTTTAAACATTTTTCATTGATTCGAACATCAAGCAGTATATTTGGTGCCAAGTGTATATAGATGTTCGATATCACAGGTCATGTTGTTGTGTTTGAGCTAACCCCTTGTGTAAGACTACGTAAAGGTAGGTGAATTGTCATTTCTCCGCAGATGTTTCGGGTTTTTTTTACTCAGATGACGGAAACTGCACTAATTTTTCATTGTAACATAATTATGATATATATAAGTATGATAAATTTCTACATCAGACCTGCCAATTTGTCTTCTAAGGAGTTAGTGATAACTTGTGCTAATAGAAAAGCAATTCAATAAGTAGTAAGTGTCCCAGGGCGTGTGTTTCTTCTGTTTTGCCGCATGAAGACAGATAAACAGAATATGAGAAATAAGATTTTTGCCCTTCTGATAAACTTGTCAGGATGGGATGTTAGCTTCGACAAACATCCCAAATATTCGTTTTCTATGGCGTAATTCTCAAAAAGACGTAGTTTTAGTCATGAAATTGTGCACATGTCCCTAATTTCATCTTTATTGTAATATTTTTTCGTGATTATATTTCATGTCCAAATATATCAAGTTTTTCATCAATTATCACATTTACAACTACCTATGTGTAATTTGTCTATTTAACCGACATTTACTGGCATTGGTGTATAATTCTTTGTATTGTGTACTTCAGGTGTACTGTCTAAATGAGGAATGCTTCACGATCACTTAGTAGTAAGGGACATTGCCTTGGCGACTTGTTGGAGGCATCTATGAAATTTGAGGAACGCGCTAAACGCCTAAATGAAAGAGAAGCCGAAAAATTGGAAAGAATTCAACGAAGCATGATCAGAAATCAACGTGTCAGTGACAATCTCAGGACACGTGTCATGTCTCGAACAGAAGCTTCTCTGAAAAACATAACTGGATTCCAAGAAGTCTTGTCCAAAGATTATACTGTGCGGAAATTCAAAACAATGGAAAGAGGTTTTAACAACAGGTATAGACTACGACCTGTTTCACCTAGAACGGCAAGACATTTGAAATTAGAAACAAGGGCATATTACTCTGGTTTGGATAGGAAATGGTTCCAACCGGAAATTAACCGAAAAATGTACCAACAAGATCATAGAAAAGTTCAAAGAATATTGCAAAAAGTTCTGAAAGATGATTGTGAAGGGCATAATCAATTACTGGACAGAAATTTGTCAGACGAAGCATTTCAGCAAGAAATACATAATAGACTCACCAATAAAAAAGATATAAAAATTGCTAGATTCCAATATACAAGCAGCAATAGAGATTGATGTCGGACGTACGTTGGTACCAAAGAAAAGACATGTGATGCAAATGTACGTCCTGCAAAGCCAGAATAACAATTTTAAAAGTAGATTCAGTGTACAACTGGTGTTTCTTGCGAGGATAAGCTGGTGTTATGCAGGTGATGTTTTATCTGAGCTTCGATGTGACGTTAAGTAGTTACTAGACAACATGTTACTTATGTTTAATTCTGTCTCGTATTCCATGACAAGGTCAAATTATTGTAAAGGCATTTAATCACTCTACAACATGGAAATTAATATTAAGTAGCTGTAACCCGTCATGCTTGTCAACAAGTTGTTGTCATTGTAAATGTTGCTGATATCATGTTCCTAAGAACCCCGAAAGTAATGAAAAAATATAGCGTATAAAAATATCCTTTATAATCCTATAAATTTACGATGTATAATGGATATGAGATTTGACAACAAGACACTGTAAACTTTATATTAAAAAAGAGACAGGTATATATAAAGATCTAAACTCACAATAGATAGACTATGTCTGTAAACCCCTTTTATTATGGAGATAAAATCGTCCAAACCTTCTCCAGCGCATGTAGGTTAAATGGGATTCGGAAATCCAACTCGTCAAATGAAATAGATATCATTAAAGTATGTAAAGAATTCTGAAGAGGTAGACCACATCGGATGGAAAAGTCACACTTTTCTATCCAACATTTGAATACATGGGTTAACGCCAAACTGAAGTTATAATACTTTCACATAATAGATACTGATCTCCACCTTGATTGACGTCATCAACGTTCTTTTAAAGCGGATTAAATGTCGACCCATCTTTTGAATATATAAAGTAGACTGGGCTCATGTATCGGCTGTATTTTATGCAATTCTTATTGGTAGACTGCAGTATAATCATATATAGAGCAGTAAAACAATACGGAAATAAAATATAACTGAGACCTTTGTTTCAGGTGATCCCCTTTCCCCTTACACAGAATAAATATCACATCACATTAGAATCATCATTGAAGATAGTTGTTGTTACAGGAGTTTAAGATTACGCTAAAGACACACACATAGATTCAGAGTCAGGATTAGTCAAATGATTAGCTAAACAACATCACACAGCTGTTTCGTATTTCTAGGTTACAAAATTTCTAAGCAAAAACCGAGGAATTGCCAAGCGAGAATGATAAGAAATTGAGTCATTTAACAAAATATTCAAGCTTTTCTTACCGGAACAAGAGGGTAGCATAAAAAATCTGGTTTCTTCAAGGCCCGCTCATCTGAAGCACCAGAATTGAATCGGACATTTCTTACAATAAAGTATACCAGGTGTAAAATGACAAGCATAACAAGGCAGTTATATTGAAGTACTCATTCTAAGACCATAGTGGCCAATTACAGTTCAGTGAGCATTCATAACAAGCGGAAGAGTTGTGACAAATAATCATTTCTCAATGCGTCGTTTTAATAGCTAAATCCCAATTTTAGAATGTTATCCAAATTTCGCGCATTTAGATAATTCATATATATATGTTCATGTGTAGGTATATGAATGAAATTTCTTGGTCATCATTCGTTGCCTAATTTACAAGCCATGAAACCACACACCTACCATAGCCTTTCTCACCTTATATCTCTCGAAACCATGCGTTTAAGTTTATCAGCTTCCCACACAGAAATCATAATATTGGAAACAATCCGTAGAGTACTGATTCAACAGAGATATATAAACACCTTAGATAAGGATGCTGAAATGTTACTTTCTAATAGACAAGGGCTTCAGTGAAACTGATGAATGCTCGCCGAAAACGAATTTATGGAACATATGATTATAACAATGGGCAATAATTATGTAATTTAGGGGTTGAAGGCCATACATTTTGTATAATTCATATTCCTGCAGTTTGACCAATGCACACACCAAGTTTCAATATCTTAGTTTAAATGTAGGTAAAGTTATGCTCTGGACAAAACAAACAAACAAACAAACAAACAAACAAAGAGCAATAACGCTATAATTAAGGGGTTGTGGATCTTAACATTGGTACACTGCACACTTCCTTTATATGGTTAATGTATAAACTACGTTTTATTATCCTATCTTAAATGCATGTGTAACATCCAACCCTATCAACTATTTGTTATGAGGGTCAGAAACGTGAGCAAGTCTCAGATTACCTTGCTGGGAATCTATTTGAATCAGCTTGACGAATTGAGGGTCTACTGACGAAGCAAAATATACACAGATATGCATACGAATGGAACACATTATACTACACTATGTACAGGTTAAGGAAACTAAAAATCACCAATGAATAAACTCTGATTCTGTATACGCTTATTTAGCGTTATTAAAACAATTAATCCGGTTACTCGGGGTTTCCTACTCTTATGGTTTATAACTGCACTGATATTCAGTGCAAACCAAACCGAGTTGCATAAAGGGGCCTTTTAGTTTGAATTAAGCCAAGCAAACTATTGTGTTGAGCATCTAATCACAGTGTCGCCTCGAACTAATCTACACGTAGTTCGAACTAAGCCTAACGAACCAATTCACAGGAACCATATAGCGACTATCTCACTAAGGCAACTTTAATTACATCGGATGAGGCAGTCTTTCAGACCTATCTTCAGTAAACCTCATCTGCTATATTGCATGCACGCTATACTGCTACTCATACCTTCTATGGTCGTCATCTGACGGTCGATAGGAACATAAGATACCAGAGCCTTCTTTCTACTTTTTGGAGCTAAACGTCCTTGTTCCGGTTATAACCGAGCCTAGGACATTAATGGGGAGGGGGCTGGGAGCGTCGAGGCAGTTTATAAAGAACTGGATCATCCCACCCGTAGCTCTCGAGGGGAGTTGACAGAATTTTGGACTCGTCTTGATATTCCGGTCTTTTGTGCGTTTAGATACGATCAGAAGTACTTTCACTTTACTATGTGAAAGCATGTACTTGGCATCAATCAGAGTTATCAACACAGAAGTAAGTGGAACATAAAAGCATTACATTAACCACGCCTTCGTATGCCATATGAGTCCTCGCATATTATTCGATTGAAATAAAAGTACAAGTCAACAATTAATCAACAACTACTGGTTTTCGATTAATTCATTACCTAACTTAATGAGTGAATGATGATGATACAAGTGTTCACATGAGGACAACGATGAAACAAAAGAAAACAAAATAAGAAGAAAGAAAAAGAAACAAAAACAATCAACTGTTTCGATAAGAGTCGTGCCTTCAACACCACTCAGACTTCAGGTTATTGCAAATCCGAATGGAACTTCAGGTTAGCGCTTCAAAGGATTTTGTCCCTTATATTTTTTTTTAATTTTCTTGCCTCCTTCACAGAAAGTAATTATGCGCTTGATTTATCGCCTATACACAAATGGGTCGGTCTGAGCCCCTACAGCACTTCTCTGAGGTACGGAAGAAACGACTCTATCAGGTCGAGTAGGCTTTCGGATTATTCTACCTATTACTGGCACCACGTCACCACAATCCTTAGCCAGCTCCTCTTTGACAGTAAGGGGTGACTGCTGTTCTGTAGATGAGGACGGCACTTCATGCACGGAAGCCTCCTTGTCAGAGCCGCTGCTACTGTCATGATGATCTTTAATGAAGTCACCAGGATCCTCACGTCCCCAGTCAGAGTCACCATCTTTATCGCTCTCGACAAAAACCTCCGGTATATCATCGACATCGACTGGTGTATCTCCTGTTTCGGCACTGGAATCTTCAGTCTGCTCATTCTGTTGCCCATGATGCTTCTTAATATGTCTATTTAAATAATAATTCTTTATAGTTCGGAAACTACATTGGTTGCAAGCGATGCTCTTCTCTACATCTCTTCCACATTCTATCACATGCTTCGTGATAGCCTGTTTGCTTGTTGTTGCGGACGAACACCGGGGACACTTCAACTCAGGCAGCCTAGGGGTAGTCTTTGTTTGCGGCATCTTTCTGAAACAAGAACACAACTTATTAGCAGGGAAACTAATATTGCACTTAATCTTTCAACCAGACAGGGTTATGTGTAGTTCTTCTTGAGTTTCTAAACCCCGTGTCATGTTCTTCACAACATAACTCGTCAACATCGCTAGGTGCGAGCATCATTAACGTCAGGATTTCGATCGTTTTCGTACCGGAGACATTGCTGATGACTGCGACGCATGCGATCTACATGTATCACTTGATGTTTCCCATTTGGTCCACATAGAACCTTGCGTACATCGCTACATTTCTTCACAACCTCAAACGGACCTCTCAAGTAACTTGCTCCATGCCATTTTGGATCTGTGAAATCACTGCCCCGATGGCGAAGTTGCTGGCATCGGTATCCAGTATAAAAGATATGCTGAAATCTGAATGAGCCAAGATTGGTGCGTTTGTAAGTTTTCCTTTGAGCCTAGCAAGTGACTCCTGGCACTCATCTGTCCAAAGAAACCGTCGACCCTTCTTGGTGAGCTTATAGAGCGGCTTTGCCATAGCGGCAAATGAGTCTATGAATCTGCGGTAGTATCCACATAACCCAAGGAACGAACGAACCTCGGATACATTTGTTGGTGTAGTCCACTGTTTGACGTCTTCAATCTTCTTTGGATATGTTGCATAATCTTCCTCTGATACTATGTGCACGAGAAGTTCCAAATGTTTTCTGAAGAGTAAGCATTTCTTCAGATTTAGCCCGGCCGAGAGCAACTGATCAAACACCTCCTTAAGATCTTTGACCATGTCGTCAAATGTTTTGCTTACCACTATTACATCATCAAGATATATCAAGCATTTACACCAGCGGAGTCCGGCCAAAACCGTTTCCATAACCCTTTCGAACGTCGCCGGTGCATTGCAGAGTCCCAATGGCATTACTTTGAACTCGAACAAACCCCGTCTGGTGGTGAAAGCAGTTTTCTATCTATCCTTTTCGTCTAAAGGAACCCGACAGTAACCCAGAACATAGGTCCAACGTGGTGAACCATTTTGATTCGGACCAATGGTCTAATGAGTCGTCAATCCTCGGCAATGGGTACGCGTCTTTGACAGTTAAGGCAATCAACCTTCTACAGTCCACACAGAATCGCGTCGACCCACCTTTTTTCTGACCAAAACCATACCACTCGACCAAGGGCTGGATGAAGGTTGTATAACATCTCGGCGTAGCATATCATCTAAATGTTTGTCAATCTCAGATACTATATGTGCAGGCACTCTTCTTAAGGGCTGTTTGACGGGCTCCTCGGCAATGGGTACGCGTCTTTGACAGTTAAGGCAATCAACCTTCTACAGTCCACACAGAATCGCGTCGACCCACCTTTTTTCTGACCAAAACCATACCACTCGACCAAGGGCTGGATGAAGGTTGTATAACATCTCGGCGTAGCATATCATCTAAATGTTTGTCAATCTCAGATACTATATGTGCAGGCACTCTTCTTAAGGGCTGTTTGACGGGCTCCTCGGCAATGGGTACGCGTCTTTGACAGTTAAGGCAATCAACCTTCTACAGTCCACACAGAATCGCGTCGACCCACCTTTTTTCTGACCAAAACCACACCACTCGACCAAGGGCTGGATGAAGGTTGTATAACATCTCGGCGTAGCATATCATCTAAATGTTTGTCAATCTCAGATACTATATGTGCAGGCACTCTTCTTAAGGGCTGTTTGACGGGCTTTGCATTCCCGTATCGATTTTGTGTTTGATGATATCTGTTTTTCCCCAGGTCTATGTCTGACTCGGCAAATAAGCCAGAGTAGTTGGTCAGTAAGGCGCGGACCCGCTTTACTTCTCCTGAGGACAGATTTTTGATGCTCCTTTGGTACAGCTCTTTGAGATGTTTAGGCATTAACGTTTTGATATCGTTTTTCGCTTTGCTCGTATGTCTCGACCTGATCCACTTTACTAAATTGGCCAATAGTTGTACCGGCATAGATCATTTGTTCCTCCTCAGACGGATTCAGATACCGTACAGGTATGATCGTTCCTCCTCTCAATAGTGATTTCCCGACCATTCCTCTGTCAGTTTTTGTGAATGACTCTATAGGCTCTACGATGCCCAAGCACATTGGTGTCAAATTCCCCGAAGGAATCTTCACCTCACAGTCAATCACAGCTTCACTACGTGGTGGTATAATCACTGTGTACACGGAAGCACCCCTTCATACCTTCACAACTCATTCCATACTGTTCATGGCCGATCTGAAATGACTTATTTGCCAGATTTAATTAACATTCATGTTTCTGCATCAGATCGAGCCCAAGTACTCCGTCAATGCCCAACTTGGCCACAATCATGCCATGATCACAAGAAAACTGGCCTATATCAATTTGGAACTCAGATATCCCTCTGACCTCAAGTGGAGTGCCACATGCAGAAATGATTTCATAGGTCAAAGTAACCAGCTTCGGCTTTGTCCGGGCCTCTAGTAAGTCATACACATGACTTCCAAGCAAAGTCACTGTTGCACCTGTATCAACAAGCACTTTCAGCTCATGTCCATTCACGTTGCCTCTGATAAACAGACCGGCTTCCTTCTGAATATTGTTCAGATCGACTCTATCAGCGTTCTGATCATTATTTCCGGCACCCCCTGTCTTCTTGTTCGGACATTTTCTCATTAAATGTTGTTTTGATCCACAGATGAAACACTCGCGTTCGAGTATATTTTGACCTTAAGCTGCTGACTGTAAGTTTTGCATATGCCGACGACTACCATAATTATTCTTCTGAGAACCATGTTCATTCTGACCTCTAATTCGATATTTCAGGTTGTTCACTTCCTTTGTCAGCTCGCTCACAGATTTTTGCATGGTCGTAATCATATCTTGTATCTGACCCAATCCATCATCATTTGACTCGGATTTCGGTAGAGGTGTTGACTGTTCTCAGTTAGACCTGTCCTTCTGTCATCTTTCTTTCAGCATTCAAGAAAGCCTGCAATTCAACGGCATGACGAACAGCATCGTTGAGAGTATGAGGGCGTGCTTGTTTGATTCGTATCCGCAAACCCGAACTAACAAGTGTATCCAAGAACTGGTCCTTCGCCAACTGCTCCCTGACGTCTGATGGAACCGTCGAATATGATAAATTGGTCAGTCGACGAACGTCTTGTGCTTTTATAGGTATTGTCTCAGAAGATCTCTGCTTTCGTCCTCTCAACTGCGTCCTGTAGAGTTCAGTTTGATTTGGTGGCGCAAACATTTCCTCTAATGCCTTAACGAGAAGATCATACTACCGACCTGCATTACCCGTCAAATTCCCTAGCACGCCTTGTGCTTGACCTCGGAGAGCAACAGCTAAATTTAGCCTTTTTTCTTCTGCGGTCCAGTTATCAAGTACAGCACAAACGTCAAATTGAGACCTATAGTCCAGCCACGATCCAGAATCATCATAGTTAGCAGGGTTGACATGTAAAGTCTTTATATGCTTGAGTTTCTCCCTGAGGTCCTGGAGGACTTTGCCCTCTTGTGAATTGCAACAGTTTCTGAATACGGTTTCGAGTTCCGTGTAGTAACAAAAGCACTCCTGGTTATATTATCCTCTGGCTGATTCGCTGCCACTTCTGAGCCTAGCCTTTGTGGACCATTGTCAAAAGCTCGGGGTAAATAGTACTCATTATCGTCGTCGTGCTCAAGCTAGTGGTGTAGGTGGTGCCACATGTAACGTGTGTTTAGGCCGTGCACCTTGTTGCTCAAAACCTGAAAACCAGAATCAGACACATGTGGAGTTGAGTGAACCCTCAATCTCTGTTCTAACTGGCTAACAAGAGGGGTTTAAACACAAAATCTATGTACAGAAATAAAAAGAGAGATACAAAAGCACTGCAGCTTGCAGTTTATAAAGAACTGGGTCATCCCATGAGGGGAGTTGACTGAATTTTGGACTCGTCCTGATATTTCGGTCTTTCGTGCGTTTGAAAGATACGATCAGACGTACTTTCACTTTACCATATCAAAGCATGTACTTGGCGTCGATCAGAGTTATCAACACAGAAGTAAGTGGAACATACAATCATTACACATGCAAATATATGCTCTGGAAAAGATATTGTGAAAAAAGGCAATAACAGGTCGAGGGCCCTGAATTTGGTGCACATTGTCTTACTAAGATTAATGCACACACTACGTTTTCATGATCCTTACTTAACTGTGGGTAAAGTTATGCACCAGACAATAATTTTCAACAAAGGGCAATTACTGTACGTTGTAATTGTGCAGTCCCTGAATTTGGTACACTGCACATTCTCTTAGTATGATCTATGTATGCAATAAGCTTCATTGTCCTAAAAAGTTTAAATGTAAGCAATTTATAGCTATGCTCTGGACACAAAAAGTGTACAAACGGCAATAACTCGAGATCTGTAATAAAGGGATTGTGGGCCCTGAAACTGGTTTGCTGCACGTCGTCTTATTAAGATGAATGCATACACCAAGTTTCATATTCCTAGTTTTAATGCAAGCAAAGTTATGTTCCAGACACAAAATTTTAACAAAAGGCAGTAATTCAAGGGTTGGGGGCCATGAATTTGGTACATGACACATCACCTTAGTATGACCAATGTATGAGTTGCATGATCCTTGCTTAACTGTGGACAAAAATATGCATGTCTATGAAAGGACTGACCAAAGGACGAACGGACAGATGAGGGGAAGGTCAAGGTTGGGAATATGTTCTCCCCAGAAGGATTTTTCGAGAGTATAAAAACTCAAATAGGGAAATAGAAAGAAGCAAACTTAGTTTACAACAATTCACAGACCCAACATCTATTCGTTAAAAAAACATCACATGTAGCACCATGTCCTGTCGCTGCAACCAGTATTTTAGACCCTTCCCCTTCCCCTACTAGGCACCTTGGCACTTGGTAAAATATTCACATTTTCTGCAGTATAATTCTAACATCATGGTCATCTACAATAGTACTGAACACTTCCTTTCTGCAACTACTTGTTAGCTCCTTACAAACACTAATGTCAAAGTTAGAACAGATCAAACAAATGAGTTTTTTAGAGGAAGGCCATGGTATTGCCTTCATATGGAGTCTTATAGTGGAGGGGCAATTTCCTAACAATCATACTCACAGGGAAAATAAAATATAAATAATTCAGATAAGGTAAACAGTACACAAATCTTAGATCTGATATATTTATTTTATGATATAAATTATAATGCTTCAGGTTAATAAAGCATGTTCATGTCCTATAGATATCAATATCTTACAACACACACACACTTAGATAATGTAATTTTCATCTGTACTCATGTACTCAACAACAAAATCTACCATTCATCATAACACAGGTGTGTTTTACATGTTTCAATATATGTTATGATAACTTAAACAATAACTTGGCAAACAGTACAAACGGGAACCAGCGACACTTTCCGTAGACAAAAATACATATTTTCCAGGTTATGGAAGTGTCAGGGTTTCCTGATTGATATACAGCCTTGCAAATAATAAAATGTATTGCCTTAGAGTATCTCTTTGTTAAAATTGGCCCCTTCTGTTGATTAAAAGGATGTAGTAATGAATATAACATTCATGGAACGCTTCCATTTGACTGGAAAGTAGAAAGATTCTTCTTGATATTGAGCATGAACTTAGAAATAATTTTGTGTATTATTTAGATGTAAGATCAGATTTTATTTGAAATAATTTTTTATCATTTTAGTACCATGGAATGAAGTTATGTTCTGCAATACTGAAAAACCTGAAATATTGGTGGTGAAGTATCACAAAATTTGAAAACAACAGAACTACAAATATTCATTACAACATGTCAGCTAGTCATAGCATTCTTAACACCTTTAACCCATCCCACCCCACTTTTTTTACATGATAAAAAAACAGCTTTTAGCTTTTTATATTTTATGAATATATCTACTTCATATTTGCATTAATTATATGATTCATATAAATAATTAATATATATATATATGTAATCAACAGCACACACATATACGAAATTATGTTAAATGGCACTAAGATATTGACGCTTGGCTGTGTATATATATGGCCCAAAAGATTAATTCAAAACTTGCATGTTAATGAATTCGAAACAAAAGCTTAGATTATTAAAATACCAAATTTTATGGCATAAATTTTCATATAAACAACATAACATCATATTAAGTTATTTTGTCGGTCATGTTTTGATACACATCTGTTCAGTGGAATGCAATTTTGTTTGCGGTGAAACTTCTATAAATATTCTGTGGAAGACATTATTTAAAACTGAATGTATATATCTTGTTGAGAGCCCCGGTTTTCATTAAGACAGTGTCACACTACATTAGACTAGACTGAATTGTGGTTATTGGCACTTAAGAAGAATTTTTCATTTGTTACACAGAATGTACTTAATATTCTCTTTGTACTCTATAAAGCATGCATGTGTTTACTGTTCAAAAGGTTCATTTCATAATCTGAAGTTTGAACTAGGGATATATGACTATGTCAGAAATCTTTTGTCTTAAAATTTGACCCACCTTATCAAGGTTTTATATTAAAAGCTTTACATGAAATACGTCTATATTTCGGAGCCAATTATTATGTCTGGTTTCAAAGAGAAATGGATTAACATAAGCCAAATGCTAGCTTATAAATCCCTCTTTCTATAATGTTTACAATTTACACAAATAAACTTGTCAATAAATGGAAATCAATCAAGCATACATCTAATATAACAACTATAATATCTAGTCATTGCTATATTTACAGATATGTATCACAGTCTATTGTTACAAATGAAATACCTTTTCATGAATTAAAGCTTTGTTCAGCAGTATTTGTATTATAGAAATATAAAGTTTACTCAGACATCAGCATACCTGTTAAAAAATTACTTTTCCATTGGAACTGGTCACAAATTATCTCCCTTGGGGTTGGCTGACATTTTCCATAAGAACTGTTCACAATTATCTCCCTTGGGGTTGGCTGAGATATATATTTGTACATGTATATAATGTACCAAACGAATAGAATACCTTCGACCTTCCATGCATTCATGATATATTCCAATGATGAAAAGATTTGTGTTTTGAGATAGGAATCTTTGGATTTTCAAGATTAACAACCAAATTATCATTTATCAAGGCTAGATATTAACATGTATATAGTACATAATAAATAATTTAAATGCAATCTGGCAATATATGTTTTGACACACATATCACATGTAAATATTTCACCCATAAATAAATAACATGTTGTTAAACACTAATGAGATACAGGAGATGATGTATTGCTAAATATTGGTATGATTCTTTTATTATAATTATGTTGATGAGTATTGATTTATAATATATAACCAAAACTCCACAACAACTTTATGTTTCATAAATATGAATTATTTTGTTTCAATTTCAGTAAATAAATACACCAGCTAAATCTTTGTAATTAACATGTTGAAATAAAACCAAACTAGTGACAGAATTGGATTTGGGACTTTACCCTTAAAAGCTGGTCTGTTTTTTATTTTTTTTACATTATTTCCCATTCCAATGGATCAGAAATACATTTTGTCTATATATATTGATACCTTTTGTTCAATATTTATCAATTTTAAGTTTTAGTGAAGGTAAACACTTGTAAACATTTTCACTATATCATGTAATTACATTACTGATGTATGATGTTTTGAGTGCACCTTACAACTTACAATCATTAAAAATAGCAAAGTGTGAAAGAAATCATTTCGGTGTATGATCGAAAGAAAACTTCAATATTCTAGATAAATTTCTTTAAATTCAGTACTTGGCAAAGCAGTATACTTCCCTTTAAAAAATCTTACCTGGCCTTAATTTCAGATGTCTCTGTCTTCAATATATAGAAGTGATTTATCATTATGAAAAATCATGAACCAGGTGCGAGAACTTCTTGAATAAACACTGAAATATACATATCTGAATATCACAGAGAGATTCAGCATGTTAATATATTCATATACAATAACCACACTACTTTTCCCTACGTCCAAGTATCTGAGCTATTCTGCGACGGTTCTCTGCGAGGGAGTTGCCCTTTAATCGTCCGGGTGTTTTTGCTGATTCTCCACCAAATGTTAACTCATTGTTTGTACTTGGACCAACATCCCTATTAGAAGGGGCTGATGGTATTTTTGTCTTGTTAGGGCTGGAGCCCTCACTATCCTTTCGAGAGAGCCCATCATCAGGAGGGCTTGGCTTGGGAGTGTTGAAACTTTCTGATTTCTTCAAATTCACAGCAGAAGAGTTCCGAGATGAGTTTAATGAAGAATATCCACCTACATGAGACAGAAAAAAAAATTTTTAACAGAAAACAATAAATATTTTAGGATAAAAAGTTCAGTGCAGAGTTAATGTAATATGAATACCCTGGCACTTTAATATATATGCATATCCTCTACATCAATTAAACAAACCAGAATTCTGAAAATACCAATACATGTAGTTCAAAGTGCCCCATCTCATTTTTAAATACTGATATTCTTGCATCCTTTCACTTTTGATGTATATTGTTGTCAGTTTAAATGGTCAGATAAAAAACTAAAGAAACAATTTGGCTGTTAACCAAGTTTAACATGCAGTGTTTTTTTTTCAATCACACATTGACTTAAGCAATACAGGACTGCCATGTCAATATTCCTTATTTCTAAAAGGATCAAATTTGTTTTCATTCCTAATTGAATTACAAGACCAACAAATGAAGAGGAAGTAGGATACAAGTGAAACTTATAAGATAAAAATCCAGCTCCGTAATTTAATTTTATATATCAACAATTAAAATTCCCCTGAATTAATTTTTTTAACACACTTTAAAACAAGAATGACAGGTATTTATATGCCTTGCATGTTCCTGCTTCACCACATCATCAGGATTACACAAATATGTATGTGGAGAAAAATAAACTGCAATGAATGAAGTGCTTAATGGACAAAAATAATGTGACATCAATAACTTAACAACGTCTAATTGATAGTAAATTGAAGGTGAAATTCAGAATGTGAAATTTGAGTTGGGATGACTATATAACCAATAAATATATTGTAAGTTTGGTAATGACATCTTAGATAAAGATGAATACTGAGCTTAATTGGAAAACTTAAACATGGCCAAATTACAATTAACAAAGTCCAATCAACAGTAAAAAGAATGTCTTTTATACTTCACAGGTGATCCTGTAGTTGTTAAGGATGGGATAATTCTATCTCACACAGGGTAGGGAATTCAAGTTCTCTCACACAGGGTAGGGAATTCAAGTTCTCTCACACAGGGTAGGGAATTCAAGTTCTCTCACACAGGGTAGGGAATTCAAGTTCTCTCACACAGGGTAGGGAATTCAAGTTCTCTCACACAGGGTAGGGAATTCAAGTTCTCTCACACAGGGTAGGGAATTCAAGTTCTCTCACACAGGGTAGGGAATTCAAGTTCTCTCACACAGGGTAGGGAATTCAAGTTCTCTCACACAGGGTAGGGAATTCAAGTTCTCTCACACAGGGTAGGGAGGTAATGTCAACACGATCTATGTTGCCACTTACCTAACATTAACATCATTTATTTATATACCATAACTATGTCACAAACTGATAATTTCAACATATATTTCATGGGACATTGATGATGGCACAATAATTAGGTTTGACATCAACTCACAATTTGTTACAGTTTCTTTAAAGTATATTTATGAGAGAAAAATAATGAAACATGGCAGACGGTAATTAAGGAAAATATAGTTTGTAGCTATAAACAGGTGAAAGTTATAGGCAGATGGTAATTAAGAAGACCTCAGGTTGTAGATATAGGCAGATGGTAGTTGTTGGTGTTAATTACAGAGAGATGGTTGTCCTGTAGTTTCTTATAAATATTTAAATAGAAGTAGTCTATCAATGATTTAGAAGAGGTGAAGTAAAATACATACACAATATCATCATTTACAAGAATATCAACATGTTTATATATCTGACCTGATGGTTTTTTCAACTGCAGAAGTTCTTCTTTAGCCTCGCTGAATTTTTCCATCAATTCAAATCTTTCCTCACATTCTTTCCTCACTGTTTCTTGGAGAAAAGCATTCTGTAGAAAGCAACATACAAACCAAATGTGTATATAATTACAGATACTGACTGGATAACAATAATTACTGATGTCTGATACTGTCTCACTTATTAAGCACAGTACTGTATCCATCTCCTCTATTGTTGTTCAACAAATGTATAATATCTATATGATATCTTATTAGGTAAGCCATTAGGGTTATGCCTCTTTGCTGTGAAAGTTATCTCCCCTTACCTCCTCTTTGGCAGTCTTTAGCTGGCCTGCCTGCTCTTCCATCTGTTGTCTGGTTTCCCCTAGCTCATCGTGTGTCTCCTTTAACTGCTGTTTCAGAGTGGAAATCATCTCCTCATTTCCCGAGTCCAAACGTCCTGGATAAAACAGAATGAAATGCATCTATATCAACCAACATTTAAATTATATCAATCAGTTTTCCAGGTCTTGTATAAAAGACTTGAGACTCAAGACCTCCTGTCATGTATGGTAGACTTAATAATCTGGAACTCCTGTCATAAATGATAGAATAGAAACCTGAGACCTCCTTTCATGTGTGATAGACTCAAGAGTCTGGATCCTCTTACCTAATCTGTTCTCTAAGTCTTGTATGATAGACTTGAGACCCTAGACCTCCCTACCTAATCTATTCTCTGGGCTTGTATAACAGACTTGATCCCCTTGATCCCCTTACCTAATCTGTTCTCCGGGTTTGGTATAACAGACTTGAGACTCTTGATCCCCTTACCTAATCTGTTCTCTGGGTTGGTATAACAGACTTGAGACCCTAGATCCCCTTACCTAATCTATTCTCTGGGCTTGTATAACACACTTGAGACTCTTGATCCCCTTACCTAATCTATTCTCCAGGTCTGGTATAACAGACTTGAGACCCTAGATCCCCTTACCTAATCTATTCTCTGGGCTTGTATAACACACTTGAGACTCTAGATCCCCTTACCTAATCTGTTCTCCAGGCTTGTATAACAGACTTGAGACCCTAGATCCCCTTACCTAATCTATTCTCCGGGTCTGGTATAACAGACTTGATCCCCTTGATCCCCTTACCTAATCTATTCTCTGGGCTTGTATGCTTGTATAACAGACTTGAGACCCTAGATCCCCTTACCTAATCTATTCTCCAGGTCTGGTATAACAGACTTGATACCCTAGATCCCCTTACCTAATCTGTTCTCTGGGCTTGTATAACAGACTTTAGACCCTAGAACCCCTTACCTAATCTATTCTCCAGGTCTGGTATAACAGACTTGAGACTCTAGATCTCCTTACCTAATCTATTCTCCGGGTCTGGTATAACAGACTTGAGATGATAAACCTCCCTACTTAATCTGTTCTCTGGGTTGGTATAACAGACTTGAGACCCTAGAACCCTTTACCTAATCTGTTCTCCAGATTTGGTATAACAGACTTGAGATGATAAACCTCCCTACTTAATCTGTTCTCTGGGTTGGTATAACAGACTTGAGACCCTTGATCCCCTTACCTAATCTGTTCTCCAGATTTGGTATAACAGACTTGAGATGATAAACCTCCCTACTTAATCTGTTCTCTGGGTTGGTATAACAGACTTGAGACCCTTGATCCCCTTACCTAATCTGTTCTCTGGGTTGGTATAACAGACTTGAGACCCTAGAACCCTTTACCTAATCTGTTCTCCAGATTTGGTATAACAGACTTGAGATGATAAACCTCCCTACTTAATCTGTTCTCTGGGTTGGTATAACAGACTTGAGACCCTTGATCCCCTTACCTAATCTGTTCTCCAGATTTGGTATAACAGACTTGAGATGATAAACCTCCCTACTTAATCTGTTCTCTGGGTTGGTATAACAGACTTGAGACCCTTGATCCCCTTACCTAATCTGTTCTCTGGGTTTGGTATAACACACTTGAGACCCTTGGTCCCCTTACCTAATCTGTTCTCCAGGTCCTGAATAATAGATTTGAGGCTCTGCACTTCCTTTCGTAATGAGTCTTCACTGTCCTTTGCTCTTTCTTTTGTGTCTGACAGAAACTGCTGAAGATCTCGAATTTCGGATCGGTACTTACTCTCCAATGAGTTCAGCTGAGCTTTTAGCTGCAAATTTCAATTTCAAATAAAAAATGTTAGCATTTAACTTTTCATATTCAATGATGTAGACCTTAAAAGTATCATAAGTCATTGATTTTATTATTTTATTTTACTGACATTTTCCAAAATAATATAAAGCCAAAAAAAAAAAAAAAAAAACGATTGAAATCCTACACTGAAACATATGCCAGTCTCTGGTTAGTTCATAATAATTCAAATGAGGCAAAAGCTAAACCATGCTTAGAATTCACTTACATATAGTGTTTGAGAGATACTTCAATTGGTGTATCAAAACATGGAGCTCCAAAACCAGCAATAATTTGAACTACTTTCAATCATTGTGAAAAACAAATAGTATGCAATTCCGTAATGGCAATAAACACACATACAGGTGGACAGACATCACAATATGGATGCCATTCACACCTTGATTTCAGTGGTACAAGGGGTGGTAATTTTACTGAAAACTAACAACATAGCTACCAGTTCTAGAATACATAACTTTAACATACATTGTGTCCTAACATATACACAGACAAGCAGTGCACTATATGATCTTTTGATAAACAAGATATTCCACACACAAATTTGAGATGACGACTAACATCGAAAATATTGACTAACCATAAGTGTATAGCAATGTATTGTGTAGAAAATGTGATAGCAACACAGAAAGTGAATTTAAGAAAAAAATCTGTTATTTTGATGGAATTGGGAAAAAGAGTCATAGCAATAAATTTCATAGGTACATTGTAATTTAGGTGTCAAAAAGTTTCCAAAATTTCTCTGTTCTTAATATGTCTAAGTTACAGGATAATAGATCTAGATACTCACAATATCATTATTATTTTCTTTATTTGTACATAGTTTAAACGACTAATACAATGAAATCTCCGTGAAAGGTCGTCTGTATAGCAAGTACCTGTCTATAAAGACCACAAGTTCCAGCTAGGTCTCAATGCAATACAACACATTGCATCTCTATAGATAGGTCACCTGTCTGTTAAAGTCATTTTGTTCTGCTCTATTGAGAGGTCTTTATAGACAGGTTTGACAGTACAATGTAGATGTATAGATTCCAGCCTGATACTGTAAATGTTGTCAGCATGTATATTAATTCAAAATCAAAAAGCTCAAAATTTCCTGCCAGTTTGGGTAATCATCAGTATAAGTGATACACAATGTAAGGATCACAGGAAAAATTAAATGTCAACGGTACATAATGTAATAATCACTTGATAACAAACGAACAATGAATGCTCACCAAAAATCACCTTCATTGGACACAAAATTTTAACAAAGGGCAATAACTCAGAAGATTCTGACCCTGAAATTGGTTTACTGTGCATCATCTTAGTATGACAAATGTATACAACAGGTTTCATTACCCAAGCTTAAATAAAAGCAAAGTTAAGATATGGACACAAAAGTCTCTGTAATGGCGATAACTCAGTAATTAGAGAATTATGGGCCCTATCTTTGGCACACTGCACGTTGTCTTACAATATGACTCAAATATACATCAAATTTAATTACCCAAATCCTAATGCTACCAATTCAAATTAATTCTCTGGACAAAAAGAAATTAACAAAAGACGATAATTATGTAAATAATGAATCACTGGCCCTTATTCTGGTACAATGCAATTTTTTTTGTATGAGCGATGGATAAACCAGTTTTATTATCCTAATTTTAAAAAAAAGTCAATGGTCCATAATGTTATAATAACAGGATACAAATTACAATGCTTCATGTTGTCATTATTGCAGAATAAAAAAATCAGTGTTAAAAAACGCAATAATCCTTGTGAAATTTTTTATAGTAAATAACAATAGATATAAATTTATTTCAGTGTTTGTAGAGCTGAAAGTCCTTTATACTAGGAAAATGTGGATAAAAACATTCATGCACCAATTAAGTGGAATTTGAAACTGGAAGTTCTTTTAAATCATAAGTACAATATTGATTCATTCAGTGATGAAAGTTAGATATTTAACATGCAGTAACACTGCTTCATGTACATAAATAGTGTATTACATGGACTGGGACATTCCTTAGATGGTACTAGCACACTCTCTTAGCTTATTCTGAAAGAGACAGACAGGAATTTGATTATCACAAACAATTTTTGTCTTTAGCCATTTTGTTTTTCTGATTAGTTCCGAAATAAAACAGGCACATCTAGGGACCAAGGGGAACCTAAATATGATACGCGAGAAAGATCCATCCAGCAATTCTCATGAAATAACGATAACAAATGTTCATTGTAAAAATCCAAGATGGTGATCTGTTGGTCAATTTTGTTTTTCTGATCAGTCCCAAAATGAAATAGGTACATCGAGGGATCAAGGAGAATCTACATGTGAAATTCCAGAGAGATTCGTCCACCATTGTACTTCTCCAGAAACAGCAATAAAAAACATTGTCAAAATCCAAGATGGCCACCTTTCTGACATTTTGCTGTTCTGATCAGTTCCAAATTGGCACAATAAGGGACCATAGGGAATCTAAAAATAAATTTTGAGAGGGATCTATGTAGTACCTCCTAGAAATTGGGAATAACAAACTTTCTTTGTAAAAATTCAAGATAGCCGCTTGGCCATCATTTTCTTTTTCTGGTCAGTCCCATAATTGAATTGGCACTTCAAATGACAAGGGGGACCTACAGTATAAATGTGAAATTTAATAGATATCTATGCAATACTTTTAACAAAATAGCCATAACAATTTTCCCTATTTAAAATCTGAGATGGCTACCTGTCAGCTATTTCTTGCTATAATCAGTCCCAAAATCAGACGAACACAACTAACGAACAACTGGAACCTATCTATCAAATATGAGAAAGATCCATTCAGCATCTCTCAAGAAATAGGGATAACCAAAACTTAATGTAAAATTCCAAGATTGCTGTCTTTCTGCCATTTTGTTTTTCTTATCAGTTCAAATATCAAACGGGCTCAATTAGGGACCAAGAGGAACCTACATATGAAATTTGAGAGAAATTTATCCAGTAAAAGCAATTTGAATTGCCCATCACCTTATGATGGTGGGCTAAAAAAGTAAAAATCAGCTGAATTGGATATTTTCTGATCCAAAAACCAACATCAAGGCAGGACAGAATCAGGTGACTCAGATATATAATTTCACCTCAGATGTACCCATACAAAAATTTCCTCGTGTGAAAAAAATGATCATGAGAATAGAAAAGCTCATGTGTGCACAAAAAGTTATATATAAGAAAGATCACATTTCTTAATATTTCTTCCTATTTATAGTGACAATGACCTTAACCTTTGACCTTCAAACCTTTGGTAAGGTTGCATTGCGTGACGTTTGAGTGTAATTGTCCAAAGAAAACTCAAGTCATTGCATGAAAACCAATCTCCTAAATATAGTAACATTGTCATTGATCTTTGACCTTTAAACTTCAAAAACAATCCCAAAGAAGCACTTTTGGTAAGGAAGCACTGAATGAAGTTTGATGTTGATTGGCCAATGGGAACTGAAGATACCATGAAAAAACAATTTCCTATTTACAGTAAGTGACCTTGACCTTTGACATTTAGACCTGAAAAGCTATGGAAAGCAAGCAATTATACGTAACTTCCATTTAATTCTGGAGCCATTCACATTCCAAAATGCAGCAATTTTCCCACATTTAATTCATTTAACCAGAGAGGAATCAGCTACTGTTTCACCTGATTCTATATCCAGGGAAACAAATCAACTTGTTTCACAATTGTTGTAAAACAATTTAAGTTGATATTAATTTGTCAAAATATCAAAACAACAGTTCAGTGTTCCAGACAATATCTACAGATTATTAATTCTAAAGCTTGATCTAGGCATGAGACCATATTTACTGATTCAGAAACTACCTCTTTATAAAGAATTTACTTTGAGCAGGAAGGTTAAACATGCAACAAATTTGAGAACTCACAATAGCTTCATGATCCTTGTTAGAATTCTGGTATTTTCCCAACAGCTCCTGGTACTTCTCTTTCTCTATCTTGATTTCCTGAGGGAAACAATTGTTCACTGAAGTTAGTTATTTTGAACTATAAAAAATGTCGCCTCTATAATATAATAAAATGTTTAAAAAAATCATCTGAATCATCATTGAGTGAGAGTTATTATGTTTATTCTTCGTAAAAAGGATTTAATTGTAAGAATGTGAATCTTTTGTGTAATTCTTTACAGAGAAATTTTCATGTCTATCTACAGTTGTGGTATCACACAATACACCACAAACTTACATACATTGTCTACACATCATGTATACATCATCCACACACACACACCTGCTACAGTATCTACAGCACAATTGTCAGATACATGTAGGATGACACATTTTGTGCAGTTTGGTAAAAGTGGTTGACTAATACCAGTACTACAGATTGAAATATAAAAATAAAACTCGCATGAAGTTATGACTAAATAGCAATCACAGATGTATTAATTTTGATCAGTGATTGTAAAGGTCTTTTTTAATTAAACAGTTTTTGAAATACCACTGAACCCTGCTTCAATTAGTCTTTCTAGCATATAATTTCACACTTCAAGAGAATAGTCTATATCAATTGTCACCATTGTGACATTGCAATATACAAAAATAAGATGGTGTCATTTCACAATCATTTTATGTTTTATAGGTCAAAGTTGACATTGGAGCATTTGATTAAAATCAGGTGATTTATCATTCTGAAAACAATGTTGTTCCTCAGTCATCAAAAACACTCATAAAAAGGATGTTCAAGTAGGGAGACAATCAAATAGAAAGTGTAAAACTGATATAAAACAGCAGAGAAAGTGCTGTGAATGGAAGAAAGAAATGACTGCATGCATCTTGATGGCATGTAGTGCATCCGTACATATTACTGTGACATTTCAAACTTTAGTAAGTAGTAAGTTAACAGACAGTTGGACTGTCTGATTCATTTGTATAACTACAACTCTCTCACTTACTTGCAAAGACAAAATGATTTAACTATCTTTCAGTCAATGCTGTTCAGTGCTATTATGTTTAGTGTATTCTGTACAGTGTATTCTGTTCAGTGTTTTTATGTTCAGTGCTTTTACGTTCAGTGCTATTCTGTACAGTGTATTCTGTTCAGTGTATTCTGTACAGTGTATTCTGTTCAGTGTATTCTGTTCAGTGCTATTCTGTTCAGTGTATTCTGTTCAGTGCTATTCTGTTCAGTGTATTCTGTTCAGTGTATTCTGTACAGTGTATTCTGTACAGTGTATTCTGTACAGTGTATTCTGTTCAGTGTATTCTGTACGGTGTATTCTGTTCAGTGCTATTCTGTTCAGTGTATCTGTCTGTTCAGTGTATTCTGTTCAGTGCTATTCTGTTCAGTGTATTCTGTTCAGTGCTATCAGTGTATTCTGTTCATGTACAGTGTATTCTGTACAGTGTATTCTGTTCAGTGTATTCTGTACAGTGTATTCTGTACAGTGTATTCTGTTCAGTGTATTCTGTTCAGTGTATTCTGTACAGTGTATTCAGTGTATTCTGTTCAGTGTATTCTGTACAGTGTATTCTGTTCAGTGTATTCTGTTCAGTGTATTCTGTACAGTGTATTCTGTACAGTGTATTCTGTATGTATTCTGTACAGTGTATTCTGTACAGTGTATTCTGTTCAGTGTATTCTGTACAGTGTATTCTGTACAGTGTATTCTGTACAGTGTATTCTGTACAGTGTATTCTGTACAGTGTATTCTGTTCAGTGTATTCTGTACAGTGTATTCTGTACAGTGTATTCTGTACAGTGTATTCTGTACAGTGTATTCTGTACAGTGTATTCTGTTCAGTGCTATTCTGTACAGTGTATTCTGTTCAGTGTATTCTGTACAGTGTATTCTGTTCAGTGCTATTCTGTACAGTGTATTCTGTTCAGTGCTATTCTGTACAGTGTATTCTGTACAGTGTATTCTGTTCAGTGTATTCTGTACAGTGTATTCTGTTCAGTGTATTCTGTACAGTGTATTCTGTTCAGTGTATTCTGTTCAGTGCTATTCTGTACAGTGTATTCTGTTCAGTGCTATTCTGTACAGTGTATTCTGTTCAGTGTATTCTGTACAGTGTATTCTGTACAGTGTATTCTGTACAGTGTATTCTGTTCAGTGCTATTCTGTACAGTGTATTCTGTTCAGTGTATTCTGTACAGTGTATTCTGTTCAGTGTATTCTGTACAGTGTATTCTGTACAGTGTATTCTGTTCAGTGCTATTCTGTTCAGTGTATTCTGTTCAGTGCTATTCTGTTCAGTGTATTCTGTACAGTGTATTCTGTACAGTGTATTCTGTACAGTGTATTCTGTACAGTGTATTCTGTTCGGTGTATTCTGTACGGTGTATTCTGTTCAGTGCTATTCTGTTCAGTGTATTCTGTTCAGTGTATTCTGTACAGTGTATTCTGTTCAGTGTATTCTGTTCAGTGCTATTCTGTACAGTGTATTCTGTACAGTGTATTCTGTTCAGTGTATTCTGTACAGTGTATTCTGTACAGTGTATTCTGTTCAGTGTATTCTGTACAGTGTATTCTGTACAGTGTATTCTGTACAGTGTATTCTGTACAGTGTATTCTGTTCAGTGTATTCTGTACAGTGTATTCTGTACAGTGTATTCTGTACAGTGTATTCTGTTCAGTGTATTCTGTTCAGTGTATTCTGTTCAGTGTATTCTGTACAGTGTATTCTGTTTAGTGCTTTTCAGTTCCGTGCTATTTTAATTAAGTTTAGAACTCTGTATAATAATTGATAACTTTGACAACACATACCAGAACGAAATTCTCTTTCAGTCTCTCCTCCATGGATTTCAGTGATGCCACATGTTTTGCCCGTTCCTTCTGTAGCATTTCCTCCAACTGTTTTAAAATTCAAAATTGCTGAAACTATTTTTGTAAACCTTTTCAATGAAGGGAGATAACTGAAAGCCTTAGTTTTAGAGTTATTGTCAGGTGACTAGGCCAGCAGTATGTTAGAGTCTATATCTGGAGAGATATTTCATATCTCACTTAAATGGTTCTAGTCTTGTTACAGATCAACCCATATAAGAACACAGATTTTTGGGGTTTGTCCACATTTTGTTTTCTTTTTCTTTCTTTCAATAATGAATACAAGAGAATTGTTTAGTATATAAAATTCTACTACATGAATTTCATTACATCTGATGTACAATATATCTTAATATCTAACCATCACCTCTTAGAACAGCTGTGGAAGTAATTGGTAGGAGACAGAGAGGCATTCAGATTTTTTATATCACCTGTACATCATAACTACATTCTGATATTGTGAATGTCTATTAAAAATTCCCATCATTGTAAATACCTTTCTTATAGTGATACATTAGCATATTGAGATATCCATGCTGTAAATGTATGTTTTACTTTTAAATAAATTATTTCACTGATAATTATATACAATGTATATTGTTTACCTTCTCCGGCCAGGACTCGGCCTCGAACATCTTCTGTTTAAAACTTTCCCGTAGTTGTTCTATACGATTTTGGTGCGACAAAATCATGGACTCTCTACAAAGTTCAGATATAGAATTTGTTCATAATTTTTAATTAATGTTTCTGTTAGAGAGAATATGTGTTTTAATGAAATCTAAAAATAATTCTGAAAAAAAAAAAAAAAAAATAAAAATAAAAAAAAAAAAAAAGCATTCCTGACAAAATTTACTGGTCGTCATACTTTAATGTTATAACTCGTGGGGGTCAAAACATCAAAACTTAAGCCATCTTTGAATCTAGAAAGACAAGTTTATGTATATGTGAATGATGTGAAATGACATTTTTATATTGATACAAATCATTGCAATGTGACTGAATGTTCAACCTGATTCATGTACAGCAGTATAGGTTATGTTCATATAAAACTGAACTTTGATAATGATTCTGAAATAAGCATATTTCTAAAGTTCTCAATCAATACAACAGTCAGTTCAAATATTTTATAAGTGACAAAAAACATTACAGATAAATGAACATTTTTGTGAAATGAAGTACAAATAAAACCAAGCAATTGTGAGAGTTTTATAATAAATCTTAATAAACAAACCTTTCTCCTTTAAGTTGTTCAATCTCTTCCTCTGCCTTTGCTAAAATGTTTTTTAGTTCTCTTGTCTCCGCTACAGACAGATACAATATGATTTCTTTAATTCTAAATAGTATGCTTTCATGATTATTTTTACAGCTACCTTGTCCAGTTGTTGAGTAAAAAGTATATTGGAAAGGCAATTTAATTGATCATTATAGTTCTATGCTTTCTAATGCTAATGATCCTTTAACCTTATTCTTGTCTTCTACAACATGTAACTTAAAAGTCATTTCAGTATCTAAATACCATCTGCTTATCACCTCTGATTCTTTTTTTTTGTTTTTATAATTCTTTTTTTATTTTTCTTTCATTTTTGCCCTGATTCATTTTTTGTTTTTTGTCTTTTTTTTTTCTTTGTGTTTTATTTCATCAAATTGAACTTAATTAGATTGAAATAAGCCAGAATTAGAAAATAAAAATGAAACACAATTTTTATACAAATTTTCAATAATCAACTGCTATTGCAATCTTTGAATATGAATAATGCGAAGGCAGCTCTCAGTTGGCCCTGTCCAAACTTACTGACTGTTAGGGTAGCTTTTCTATGAATTTCCTCCTCTTTCATCTTCTGTTCATTAAATCTTGACTGCATTGTTTTCATCTCCCTGGTCAGTGATGTCAATTCTGTTTCTTTCTTTCTTAAGTCATTCTGAAGTCTGTTACAGAAAAAGTATTTCAATAATTTCAATGTTCAGTTTTACTCCTAGTCACATGGATTGGATATTTTAATCATTGTTGCATTTAAATATCATTGATTTCCTAAGTGAAGAACACTGACCAAACACTGGTAGGATAAGATTTTGTTAGAAGAGATACACTTTTATCAACTGGCTGATTTTAAAAGTGTAAGAGATATAAATTGTCCTAAGAGGTTGAAATTTACATCAAAAATAACTTTTTTCTGATCCAGCAGAATAGTTTTACCACAGACTAAGATGTAGATATATATCTAAGTCTGTGTTCTTACATACTTCTGTAGTGACATTTCTGTATTTTGCTCTTTTCTCCTTGATTGTGCTGTTAATTCCTCAATTTCTTGGGCTTTGTTTCTGCATTTACAAATACAAAAAAAGCTTCAAAAATGAGTTTCACAAATTTACACAAAAAGTCCAGATACACCATATCAAAGAAACATGTATAATAAGATTTATTATAAATTAAGATACCTGGACATAAAAACAGATAGCAAACATGGCACATTTCCATGATAAGGGATATAGATTAAGTTTACCTTAGACTTTCCTTGAATTGTTGACTTTCTAAGTTCAATTGCCGACTGGTCGATACAGAATCCTCAAGTTGTTGTCTTATGTCTGAATAATTTGAAATTATTGGAAAAAGTTAATTTTTTTTTTAAAAAAGTATCTTATAATTTTATAATTTCTATAAGTTTTTTCTATAATGTTTACACTGAAAAAAAAACAACTTTGCACAGTTTTTCAAGTAAGTCAAACTGCTTTAAAAAGAATTTGGTAATAATATTATGTAAAATGAGAAAAGAAGAATTTGCCATGGATAAATAAGTTGCTAAAACATTTATAAACAGACATTTCAGAATCTATTTTATTTATTGATATGCTTTACAAAACTGGAGGGTCAGGTAATGCATATTGATCATAATTACTATTTTTGTTTATTGTGCTCCCTTTTTCACAAATTTTTGAAAGTCGAAAATTTCTTGACTTTGACTAATTCTTAACATGGATAGAAAACTATTGATGATTCTGTCAGCAATGAACTAACCTTTAATAGAGTTTTCTAAACTATTACACTTTTGCTGTAGTTGTGAGTTTTCCTCTCTGACATTAGACAGTGATTTTAGTTCCTTCTCCTGGCGACGAACCTTGTCCGTCATCATGGTGGACTGCATGGCAGATTCTGATTTCTCCGCTTCTAATTTATCAATATGCTGTTGAAGTGAGGATATTCCTGAAAGTTGAGAATTATTGTATAAATAAATTCTGTTTCAAAAATATTGATAAAAGATTAAAGAACATAGTAATATTCATTGTTTATAGGACATTTACTGGCCAGTGATAGTATAACAGTGCAGTATATTCAGTAATGAATATCTCTTATAAATGTGAAAAACTGAATGTACAGTTAAACTTAAATTTTCTGTTTATTATTTTTTATTAAGAATTTTTGCATCAAGCATTTTGATTGGTCAATTTAAGAACGTGGTCTATATACTTTGCTATTAGGAACGTGTGAAGGAAGCAGCAACAAAGCAAAACTAATTAATGACGCCCCAATCCACCCCTTTCCCCAAATCAGGGTCATTACATAGGAATGACTACCTTGCTGTTCAGACTGGTATTTTTCAATGATGTTTTTTTGTAATAGTTGTAGGTCTGATTGAATTTTAGCATCCCTCTCCTCGACAAACTTGTGTACATCCCTTACAGATTGTCGCTGGGACACAAGCTGGGACTTTATAGACGGTAGTCTCTCTTCAAACAGGCTAAATTTTAACCTACAAGACATACAGAAAGTTCATCTTAATTGATAACATGTACAGATGTTTAGATGTTTAAATAAATAAAAGTGAAAGTATGGTATATGTTGAGATGAAGATCAGTATAATATGAAACATTACTAATCATTGATGGATGTGAGGAAGTTAAACTGTTTTTATCATACATACATTACCTACATATATGTCAGTTACATAATGTCAGTTACAATAGTGATGCCAGTAAGCCTTTCACATATATTGGAATAACATGAAATTCTCATTTAGTTCTATTTGTAAATGGATCACCAAAGAAGGTATATAATTAAAACTTTGAATTTCTGCAGTGTGATACCTTACAATGTACAAAATACAGTATGTAACTGTTAATTACACAAAGACTAATTACATATCCAAACGTCTATTTTCTTTACCTAAAGCTTTCCCTCTCCGTAATGGTCCTATCTAGTTCACTCTGAACATTCTGGTTCTGTAATCTTAAGTGGTTTGAAAGTTCTTCTTCATTTTTTAAGGAACTGCGTAGCGACGATATTCTGAAAACAAATAGTTTGTTAAGATTTAGATAGATGTTGATACCATGGAGACAGATTATTTTCCTTTAGATATAGATGTAGTCAATCAACTATTGACTCTAGATTGAACTACACTGTTAATGATTTTGTTCTCTTTATATATGTAACAATACATAATCAATAAATGAATTTGTTTTCAAAGTTGAAAATCCATAGTTTAAATCTTTATTTTGAAGAATTTTGAGACTGTGCATGTACAGCGTTTATAAGATATGATAATATAACAAGAGATCCCAGAGAACATGGTGCCCACCATTGTTTAACTTTTATTTTTTTTCTAAAAGTTGGAACATTTTCCTTCTTTTCTCTTCTCTTTTCTCCTTTGTTTTTGCTCTTAATGAAATATTTGAGCATTCCTTTGCAAATATAGCCAGAAAAATCTTTAACTGTCAAATAAAGGTTGGTGGCCAGTCAGCCATGTTGTTTTATGGTCAGACAACACAACTAGGGACATAAGAAGAACCTATATATGAAACTTGAGAGAGATCCATCCAGCATATGTACTTCTCGAGAAATGGGGACAACACACTTTCATTGTTGAAATACAAGATGACCTCCTGCTGGCCATTTTGTTTTTCTGATAAGTCTTAAAATTAAACAGGCACAACTAGAGACCAAAGGGAACCTACATATGAAAATTGAGAGACATTCATCTATTACTTCTAAAGAAGTAGCAGTCAAATGGGCACAACTTGGGACCAGAACTTGTATTCGATATGCTCAAGAAATAGCGATAACAAACTTTCAATGCCAAAATCAAAGATGGCCACTGGTTGGCCATATTGTTTTTCTAATCAGACCAATCTGATAATGGTGGGCTAAGGAATCACAAGATGTTTAACTTGAGAGATATGGGTGAATAGAAAGAATACTTATCATATTACAGTTTAACTTCAGAAACTATGATAAGTGAACATACCCTAGTTCTGGTTCTTATTCTCTACAGAAAACCTACCCTATAACAACCAAATATATTTAAGGATGATTTCAAATAACCTATATTTCTCAAGTAGATTTCTAACCAGTACTTATATTTATCCAACTTACATGTTGTCCATTTCTTTGGAATGTTCTCGGAGTTCCTTGGTTTCTCCCATCAGTCGTTCATAATCAACTTGTAGCTGTTTTTCTCTCTCCACGCTTCCTCTGTAGTGTTCCATCTCAGCTAAGGTCTTTTTTAACTTTTCCTCCATGGCTTTGATTTCATTGTGAATGAGGTAGCTCACCCCACAATACTTACATATAGTGTCATCATGCTCCATTTTTCGTATACCTTCTGGTAGAGGATGTTGTGGGTGGTAACGTTCAAACACTCCAGGCTCAGCCTTGGCATCCTCAGGCTTGCCCTCCGACATTTTTGTTTTCATAACCTTGACTTCAAATTTTCTATGTGACTTCTTCTATTCTGTCAAACTGGAAATGGAGAAATACAGCTTTAGATAATATGATAGAATTAGGCATATACAAATGTATAATATAAACTTGTTTAACCAGCTAGACTATAAAATCATGTACATCTTAACACGAAATTCAATCTTGAATATTAAATGACGTGTGGTTAGTATACACATGTCAAAGCTACTAACTAAAGAAAATGAATTCTAATGGTTTATATCTTTTTCCCTGTTAGGCATAGCCCTCTTTCCCAAGGGAGTAAGGGGTGGAGGAGTGGTCACCCAAACCATTTCTACAACAGCCCTCTTCACCCAAGGCTATTCCAGACTAAGTCTGGACATTTTGACATTCCACTGCTAAATTTCCCATTCTGGTCCTCATCCCTCCCAGTCCAGGGGACCATTTATACAAAATTGATTGCTTTTCACTGAAGGATGCTTCAGACAAAATCGGTATGGAATCTTGTCATACCTACAGAAGATTTGAATAGTAGCTTAAGAATTTGCTAAATTTCACATTTTGGGCCCCATCCCTCAAGAACCATGGGGTCAAGATCCTCCATTTGAACAATATTGATCCCTCTTCTACCAAGAATGTTTCAGACCAAATGGTTATAATATCCAGGCACTCCTGGAGATTAGGAGATTTTATGAAAATTCTTTTTTTTATGATAATCTTATTAAATTTTTGATTTTAGTATTTTATTCTTTGACATCAATAATTTTGTTTTAAATTATTTCATAGTCCAAATATAACTACTGTTGTTATAAAATCGTCAAATGTCATGATATACAGTGACCTGCCAAAAGTCTTTCTTGTTTCGTTATTTTACTGTATATTCTTTATATCTCTTACCTATTTCAATGAATTTCCTGACTTCATTCATGGGAAATTTTTAATAAAATTTTGTACACTTTTGGCAAAATGCTTTCTGCTTCATCTCATTTTATTTCCTATTTTTTCTATTGTTTATTTCCAAGGAAATCATACTTTATGTGCAGTATGTGATTTTCAGGATGCCATTTTGACATCATTTTGGTAAACATATATAGGATAATGGCGTCACCTTTAAATTAGCAGTGTAGATAATTCTGTATTAATCCTGAAATAAACAGCGGAAAATTAATAGAATATTATGAGAAGAAATTATGGACACTATTGAACAAAATGACCCAATATTGTCAAAATCCATCCCTAAACAAAGTCAAGAAAATTAATTGTAAAAAAGTAATATAAAGAATATATTTTTAAATAAAATAATGTAAAAGACATATGTCAAGTCACTGTATATATATTTTCATTAAGTGGTTTGTGATAATTACTTTCTTAATTCAAATGTAGAGTACTTGTAGATATAGTATCTTGTGACTTTTTCTATGCTTCGCATTTTAATTTGTTTAACTGATGTACTTTTATGGGTTTAAAATGTGTGATACTTTAATAAACTATATCATATCTAATAAAAAGTTTAAGATTAATATGTATACAATTAGGAAACATAACCTCCGAAACGAACAAAGTTTTGACTGTTAATTGCAACAGTTTACTCATACGAGGTCGGATTAGCATTAAAGCATATTCAGTTTACTTATATGTATAATCAGGGACATACTATACGTCCCTGGTATAATGGAGCATACCAGTCATGTGTATGGAAATTATTTATACTTATGATATATAACTAATACCTACAATGTCTCAACGCCATTAGTGTTTTCAAACCAAACCAGATCCACATTTCAACTTCAAGTTAATTATGAATTAGTGTCATCCGTTGTAGTCATTTCTTCAACCTAAATACAGTCTCCAAATATGGAAAAAAACGGTAGTATGATCGCAGATACAATATAATCACTTATATTCAGGGTACAAGATTTGAATCATCCCAATTTACATACTGTGAAATACTGACACCAAACAATTTTTCATCGCTAGTTCACCATAGAAGTATTCAGTTTTTACCTCAATACAGACATCATGCAAAACAGGCACACAATCTCGAAAGATGTCATCTGTTATTAGAGATAACATCAGAGCACTCGAATAGCTTTAGTTATGTGTCCGCCATATTGAATCCAATGAAAACATTCCACATCCGGGCTACTCTTGTTCTATTTAAAATGGAGACCGGACGGGATACCCGGAAAATCGCATAATTCTTCATGTTGGTTTTGCATTGTTTAAGTAATGGAACAGACTTAAGTAACCAAAGAGACAACTGTGGAAAACCAATATTACTCGCAATAAAAGTAACATAGAAGTAAATATATAGATATTTAGCGAGAGAGAGAGCAAAGGTACCAGCCTCGTAGGCTTTTATTAGCAGTGATCAGTCTACAATTTATTTTTCAGTTTGTAACTTTGTTTTATGTAGTATGTATGTGATGTAACTTTTGTAATATCTTGTGTCTTGATAAAGTGGCAGATTGTTTTGAAAATTTGAAAATTTACTGGTCCATGCTGTCTGTACATCTTCGTTGGTTATATATATGTAACAAAACCGGGAAACACACTATGACATTGTGTACAAGATGTTTAATGTACAGTTCACACAGTTACCTGTGATTTTTACCTGTGTATTGTCTGAAGTTCTTATCTGTATACGTATCCTACAATTGTATCAACGACCTTGCTTTTATTCGAATGTAAATTCTTACGATTTTCATAATTCAAAACAAATGAATAAAATGGGGAGGGGGGGGGTGGAGTCAACCTTTTTGGAGAAGATGTTATATAATCTACAGAGTTAACATGGTTAGGAAATTGATTAATTGAAAGCATTATCTATTGGAACTTCTCAAACGTGTAATGAAAAATAGCTGTTTGATAGATATAAGAGAGAATATTTTATACTTAAATTATCTGATTCGAAACATAAACGAATACGGTTTTTATTTACAATAAAAAGTACTCGCTTTGGATCATTTAGATAGAAGTGCTTAATTCTAATATATTAGGAATATGATTCATAAGCTATGATACAGCTACTGCTATAGACCTATATATTTTATAAGCCGGGGGTTCTGCTACAGGTAAAATCGGTAATGGCCTTTTTCAGTTATTAAAATAGATACATGTTAATGGGTTTAAATGATGCATTGACGACAACCAGAATCAAACATAGGAACATGAAAGACATAAGGTGGAACGGATTCTTCAAGGGAGGTGGATTCGGGAAAGTAAAGGAAGTGACTAGCCAATAAACTTTTCATGGATGAAAAAAGCTGACTTGCTTAACATTATTATGGTTGAGTTGACGTTCCAAGTTGAGGTGACTATTATGGGTGGTCTTTTGACTAGAAACCACACGAGGATTTGAACACATGTTAAATGTTTAATTCAATGTGAAAGCTTACACCTACACTGTATAGCGAGAGTTCCAGTACCTATGACACAGTCGAGCTACAAGTAAATAATATATCTGATTATGTTATAAAATAAACAGAATCTTGAACTTGGGTCAGTGCTTGGTGTGATCCTGCCGGAGTAATTATTGATGGTATCACCAGATGTTCTGTATGTAATCCCATCAGTTATTATACACGGTATCACCAGATGTTCTGTATGTAATCCTATCAGTTATTAAACATGGTATCACCAGATGTTCTGTATGTGATCCTATCAGTGTTATTATACATGGTATCACCAGATGTTCTGTATGTAATCCTGTCAGTTATTGTACATGGTATCACCAGATGTTCTGTATGTAATCCCATCAGTTATTATACATGGTATCACCAGATGTTCTGTATGTGATCCTATCAGTGTTATTATACATGGTATCACCAGATGTTCTGTATGTAATCCCATCAGTTATTAAATACGGTATCACCAGATGTTCTGTATGTAATCCTGTGTCAGTTATTATACACGGTATCACCAGATGTTCTGTATGTGATCCTGTCAGTGTTATTATACATGGTATCACCAGATGTTCTGTATGTGATCCTGTCAGTTATTATACACGGTATCACCAGATGTTCTGTATGTAATCCTATCAGTTATTAAACATGGTATCACCAGATGTTCTGTATGTAATCCTGTCAGTGTTATTATACATGGTATCACCAGATGTTCTGTATGTGATCCTGTCAGTTATTAAACACGGTATCACCAGATGTTCTGTATGTAATCCTATCAGTTATTATACACGGTATCACCAGATGTTCTGTATGTAATCCTATCAGTTATTATACACGGTATCACCAGATGTTCTGTATGTGATCCTGTCAGTGTTATTATACATGGTATCACCAGATGTTCTGTATGTGATCCTGTCAGTTATTATACATGGTATCACCAGATGTTCTGTATGTAATCCTATCAGTTATTATACATGGTATCACCAGATGTTCTGTATGTAATCCTATCAGTTATTAAACATGGTATCACCAGATGTTCTGTATGTGATCCTATCAGTGTTATTATACATGGTATCACCAGATGTTCTGTATGTAATCCCATCAGTTATTATACATGGTATCACCAGATGTTCTGTATGTAATCCTATCAGTTATTAAACATGGTATCACCAGATGTTCTGTATGTAATCCTGTCAGTGTTATTATACATGGTATCACCAGATGTTCTGTATGTAATCCCATCAGTTATTATACATGGTATCACCAGATGTTCTGTATGTGATCCTATCAGTTATTATACATGGTATCACCAGATGTTCTGTATGTAATCCTGTCAGTGTTATTATACATGGTATCACCAGATGTTCTGTATGTAATCCTATCAGTTATTATACATGGTATCACCAGATGTTCTGTATGTGATCCTATCAGTTATTATACATGGTATCACCAGATGTTCTGTATGTAATCCTATCAGTGTTATTATACATGGTATCACCAGTTGTTCTGTATGTAATCCTATCAGTGTTATTATACATGGTATCACCAGATGTTCTGTATGTAATCCTGTCAGTTATTATACATGGTATCACCAGATGTTCTGTATGTGA